CAGGGTCCCAAGGTTTTGGACTGTCCTCGACTTGCTTCCCAGGCCACAAGCAGGGAGCCAGATGGGAAGCAGAACCACTGGGATTAGAACCGGTGCCCATATGAGATCCTGGATGCATGCAAGGTGAGGGGCCTTAGCTGCTAGGCCACTGCACTGGGCCCAGGGAATTGACTTTTAAGGTTATTATAATCATATTGGTGATAATACTTTTCAGAATATGAAAATATGTATATATATATATATATAAGCAAATTTCTTATTCCTCTATCATGTAATATAAAATTTGCTAACCTTGCAACAGGGAGCAATTGCTGTTAATTTTGCATCAGAATGTTTAATATTGCAGGATATTTAAAGAAAATAAGCATCACTCAGTATTTCTTTCTTTTTTTTTAACACTCAGTATTTCTAATGCGTTTTCTCTTGTACTAGGATACTTGCATCAAATTGGGTGAAGATAGTACCTTGGAATTGTCTTTATTTTCATATTAAATGTGGTTTAATAAGGTATGCAGATATGCCAAGTTAACAAAGGATGAACTTGTGGTGGTTAGTTTCAGATGTGAACTTTACTGCATTAACGGACAGTCACTGAGCTGATGGAACTGATTATTCTGAATGTTTAGTAGGTTCTGATCCTGCCTCTCTCCTGCAGAAAGGAAGCTCTGGGTGGCTTTGTATCATGAGAATGATTGGCCTGCTTCAGGGCTCTCTGATAATGTTTGCAGAGACTTAGTGAAGTAAATGGGAAAGACACAGCCTCAGTGTGGGTAAGCAACAATAGCCGGGACTCACATACAGCAAAAAGGCAAGAGAAAAGGTAAGCTATTTTCTCTTTCTCTCTTTGAGCTAGGCCATTCTTCTCAGTCTGTTGGAAACCAGAACTCCAGTCTCCTCAGGCTTTCAGCTTCAAGAGAGCCCTCCAAACCCCATCCTGCATTCTTGGATCTTACACCTCAGAAGGGGGGATTACACACCCAGCTCCCTGGCTCTGGCACTTTGGGGTTGATCTGAGCCATAATTACAGCATCCCAGGGTCTCTGGTTGGCAGATGGCCTGCCATGCAACTTACAACCTCAATATGCACAGGAGCCCAACTTCCTAACATATCTCCTCTCACACAGGCACGTGCGTTAGCTGGGTCTCTCTGCAGAGGCCAAATCCAGAAGGTATAGAACATATCACTTTGAAGATGAGAGAAATGCCTTGTCATTGCAGATTTTCCTCAAGATTTGTGAAGGGGATTTTTCTGTGCTTGAGGAAGAATACCACGGGGGAATTGGCGCCAGCTTTCTTTCAGGAGTTATTTATGCCAGTTATGGGGGAAGAGCCTATCCACAGACATCACCAATTCCAAGAAAGAAGGGTGGCTCCTAGATTAAATGCAAATATCATGCCTTCTGTTTGTTTTTTTATTATTATTTTTTTAAAGGAACTGGGAAATATAAAAGAGTGTTGAGGATTGGAAGATAAACACCAAGATCCCTACAGAGATCTGCAAGATCCCTGGAAAAGGTCACAGCAGAAGCTGCACAGCAGGTAAGACCAGTCACTTGCTATAGAAGGAAGCCAACCCAAGGCTCAAGGACAGAAAAAATCAACAGCATAGCTGTCCACCACATGAATTCAGCAAGGGACTAGCACCTTCACTAAGACTGTGAGCTGGATAAGCCCTTCTCTGTAACTCTAAGACTGGTATTAGCAACCAGGGTCTCATGGTTTTTTCTGTTTTTGTCCATCTCTCTCCTACTGCATTGATTTGAACCAATCTTGGACAACAGCAAGCAAATACACCAGAATTTCTAGAGGTTCTGGTTTTTTAAAGCAGTTTTTTCTTAGACTGAGGTATGACTGAAATGTCATTTTGTATTTAGGAAGTATAGCAATTATAATTTGAGCATCAGCATTGCCATGTGTCAAAGCCATTTCTCTGTCTTAACTTCCTGCCATTGATGGTAGAATGAAATTGCATTCCTCACAATGTACTTGTCTCTGTGTCCTACATTCACTTTGCCTTGGGACTGTTTAATGGATATCTGTTCAAATTGAAATCAATATTGTATAAACACTCATTAAACTAAAGACCAAGGGCAGTCAGGAACCAGTAAAATAAAATGGGAGAACTATTGAAAATCAGATAGGGACCACTCTAGAAAACGGGCAGGGAGCAGATATTGCAGCACCGTGAGTTAAGGTGCTGCCTAAGATGCCAGCATTCCAGACCTGAGTGCCAGTTCAATTCCTGGATGATCTTCTTCTGGTCCAGCTCCTGGCTAATCCATCCAAGAGAGCAATAGAAGGTGACTCAGCAATGTGGAAGATCCAGGTAAAGTTCCATGCTCCTGACTTCGGCCTGGCCCATCCCTGGCCACCTGAAGAATAAACCAAAGAGAAGATCTCTCCCTCTCTCTTGCCTATTGTCTATTTAATCTGACTTACAAATAAGTAATAAATCTAAAAAAAAAAAAAACCCTCTCAATTGAATTACTATTGGTCTATTCCCAAATTCTTAGATATTCAACAGACTTCTTGGGCACAGTAGAGACTCCCAACTGTTTATAAAACTATGGCTACAACTCATTGAGAAACTGTCACATCCAAGGCACCGTATTAAGAGAGATGCTGCTGTTTTTTTAACCCTGGAATAGTGGGAGTATTTGAACCTGATAATAGGTTCAGCTGATTGAAGAAGATTAAAGTAGAAACTCTTATAGTCAGAAAATAAATATTTTGGAAAAATAAGAAATTATCTTTCTTCACAATGGTAGGAATGGAGAAGTTCTAAACTCCTAAGTAAATTATGTCATCAGAAATGTTATAGTTATTCAGCATATCAATGATTTCTTTCAGATATTTCATAGGAACTTACATGTATATATACATGTTTCCAAAACAGTAAAATTTAAATCTTGATTATACATAAAAAGTAAAATATGTGGAAAAAAAGATATGAAGTCAAAAAATTTTGCTTGTGTACTCTATGTGATCTCTGGGTTTATGAAAAATAAATGTTTACATTTTCTTTTAATTTTGCATTTTATGATTTTTTTTAAAAAATAGTAAGCATGTATTAATTGTAGGCTACAAAAAAAAATCAAAAAGACTCCTAGGTCCATTGTAATAGTTCATAAACTATAATAACTGTGTGACTGTTCTAGACACTAAGTGAATATGAAAGCTAATACTGAGAGTTTTACCCAAAGATTAAAGAGTTATAGCAGACAGTGAGCATTAAACATGACACTTTCTTCCTGCTCAAGTCCACATTTTGAAAAATACCTGAAAGAATGAATTGTTAGGAAAGTATCAAAAAAGATAATTCTGGACTGGTAAATGACAATGATAAATTTCATCTGATTTAATTCGGTAAAAATAATTTCCTACAGAGGCCAGCTCCTATTTTGACTTTGGATCAAAACCAAAACATTTCATTTTCTAATTTTTTTAATTTTAAAAAATTGTTTGTATTGGAAAGTTTGATTTATAGAGAGGAGAGACAGAAAGATTCTCCATCTGCTGGTTTACTTCCCAGATAGCTACAACAGCCCATGCTGAGATAAATCAAAGCCAGGAGCCAGGAGCTTCTTCCAGGTCCCCCATGCAGGTGGAGGGTCCTAAGGCCATTTGCTGTTCCTTCACTGCTTTCCAGACCACAAGCAAGGAGCTAGAAGGGAAGTGGAGCAGCTGAGATTTGAACTGGATCTATATGGCATCCCAGGGCATGCAAGGTGAGGACCTTTTTTTTTTTTTTTTTAGGTTTATTTCTTATTACTGGAAAGGCAGATTTACAGAGGAGAGTCAGAGAAAAAGATCTTCCAACCACTGGTTCACTCCCCAAGTGACCTAAACAGCTGGAGTTGAGACCAGGAGCTTCTTCCAGGTCTCATGGTAGATGAGACCTGGATGGTTCCAAGGCTTTGGACCGTCCTCTGCTGCCTTCCCAGGCCATATGCAGGGAGTTGGATGGGAATTGCAGCAGCCAGAATACAAGCTGGCACCCATAGGGAATCCCCATGCTTAAAAAGACATTTCTGGCAATGCTGAGCATTTATTTAGCTATTAGTAACCCAATTATACTAGAATTACTTTTATTATATAGCTGTTTTTTAATTAAATTTAATAGTTTGAGGAAACTGGGATATGTCTATAATGGAAGTTTTTTTTTTTATCAAGACTGGGTGGTTAGTCCAACAGAGCAGCTGTTTGTGCCCACAGTAGAGGACCTCAGTTCCACACCCAGCTCCAGGTCCTGAGTTTAGCTCTCTGCTAACAAGCTCTGGAGGCAGCAGGAATGGCTCAAGTAGTCGGGTCCCTGCCTCCCCTAGGGAAAGCCAGCATTGTTTCTGGCTTTTGGTTTTGACACAACTCCTCATCCCCAGGCATTGTAGACCCTGAAAGTTTATCTGCCCAAGAAAGCACTCTCTTTCTTTATATGTTTCCTTGTCTGCTCTTGTTTCTCTTCCTACATCAAGATTTATCAGATCTTCTAGGTTTTTAATGAAATGAGCAAAGATATGATTCATGTGAATACAACTACCCCTTGATAGCTGTGAAAGGTTGTTTCAAGGACCCCTGAAGGTATGAAAATCCGCTGGTACTCAAGTCCTGATGTCACATGGTATAGTATTAGGATATAACTTATGCACATTTTCCTATGTACCTTAAATCATCACTAGATTGCTTATGACACTTAATCCAACATACTTGCTATATTAATAGTTGTTTATTGTTTAAGGAATAATACCAATAAGAAATATTTATGTTCAGTAGTAATGCAGATGGGTTTTTAAAACACATGTTTTTCCTCTATGCCTAACTGAATCCATGAAGGCAGACCTTCAAAATCAGAGGGACAATGTTGTTAAGGACCAATGTTCCAAATTAAGGTAACATCAACTGCGTTAGAAAGAAGCAAACAATCCCAAAAGAGCAGAGAGATAATCAGCCTTGATTTGTGTTTGTCAAAAAGTTTGCAAGAACTTTTCTTTATTCAAGGGACCATGAAAGCAAAAAAGATTGCAGTGATTGGTGCTGGGGTCAGTGGATTAGGTGCCATCAAGTGCTGCTTGGAGGAGGGGCTGGAGCCTGTATGCTTTGAAAAATCCAATGACATCGGAGGACTGTGGAAATACAAGGTAATTTTATAAGCGTTCTCATAAAGTCTGACACATCTTTATGTCATAGACGTTTCTTTCTTATCAACAGAACTATGACATTTACATTATTTCCTCCTGAAGTATTCTCTCCAAAGTAATAATATATTTATATAAACTTTTTTTGCTTCTAGCAGATCTGGTAACATGACGTAAGATCTCTTGCACTTCGATTCTCACGTTTCTTCTTACAGTGTAGGCCAGCTATTTGTGCTACTTTGTGTTTTCACTCAGATGTTGAAACAACTATCCCTGCCAAGAAAGGTGTGTGTAATCATTGCTTGTAATTCACATCATCAAAAGATGAATTTTTCCAAATTACAAAAGGAAATAAGTATAGCCTTAAAGTATAGACTTCTGAAACACAATGTGTCATTGTTATTCAAAACAGCCAACTACTTTGTAAGAATTCATCACATTTATCTGTTTTGGTTGGTTTTAATTTATGAGCATATTAAAATATCCCATACTTGTACTTTTTTCCCTCCCAAATCATGTAGTGCGTTCTTTCAGAGTTCCTCGCAGCACAAATTACTTTCAGCATGGTATCTGTTTTATCCTTTGGAAATTTCTCTTCCCAACCTTTTCTTCTCTTTTGCTTTAATTTTATTTCTTTTGCTTTTGTTCATTATACTTTTACTATGTATACTCTTTTTTTTTTCTATTATTCTGTGCTATGATATCACTTTGGGTCTACTACTACAGACTGGACTCTGAGCCACTAAAATGCCCCTTCTAAACAAAGCGAATCTGTGGGACAGGCGTTTGATCCACTTACGATGCCTGCATCCTACATCAGAGCACCTGGATTTCATACCTACCACGCCTTCCTCCTTCAGACTTCCTGGCTTTGACACTTAGCTCTGTTCTTGAGTACAGTTTCTTGCTAAAGTACACCATGGGAGATAGCAGCATTAGCTCAAGTCATTGAATTCCTGACACCTACGTAGCAGATCTGGATTGAGTTCCTGATGCCTGACTTCAGTCTGGTTCAAAAGATGTTGTAGCCACTTGGGGGATAAATTCACCGAAAGGAATCTCTCTCTCTCTCTCTCTCTCTCTCTCTCTCTCTCTCTCTCTTTCTCCCTCCCTACTTCCCTTTTTCCCTCCTTCTCTCTCTCTCTCTCTCTCTCTTCCCCCTCCCTCTCTCTTTTCCTCCCTCTCTCTCATAAACATTTTTAAATAGGAACTGAGACCAATACATCCAATTGGACAATTTTGTAGACAACTGACAGTCAATATGCACCTTTAAAAAAAGATAAGCCCCAACACCATATGTCTGATCATGCCTAGTATACTCTTTACTGTGTTCCTGAGTTCTGGAAATCATGGATTGGTTTGTTCCTCTAGCAAACAACTGAAAATGGAAGCATTGGGATATACAAGTCTTTGACTTGCAACACTTCGAAGGAGATGATGGCCTTTAGTGACTACCCTTTCCCGGAGCACTATCCCAACTATTTGCATAATACCAAAATAATGGAGTATCTCAGACTGTATGCCAACCACTTTCATCTTTTGAAACACATCCAGTTCCTGGTAAGAAACAAAAACCATGCTTCTATTCGCAGAGTAGTCAAGACAAAGCCTGTGAAAGCCAGAGCAAGCTAAAGCACATATTCAATTTGCATTTTTCATCAAAATTATGAAAGAAATAGTAAGTCTCCCACAAATCTTAGGATTAATAAAGGATTTTCCCTCAGAGAAAAAGAATCATCTCAAGACTTGAACTTGAAATTTAGCTTCCCACTAATTTTATTAACTCTTGAAAATAGATTTTAGGGGGGAAAATTCATATTTTATTCCCTCCCTCCCCTGAAATATCCTGGTCTCTGAGAAAGGATAGTTTTAGGAAGCTTATGTGCATGAAACTTATAAAGATCGCAGAGTGATGAACGCACTCTTCATGTGCTACCTACTCCCTTGGAAAGACATAGGGTCCTAGCGGAGGCTGGGGAGAATGCTTCAGGACTAAGACTGGCTTTGTTCCCTTCCTCCCAGTCGAAGGTGTGCAGTGTGAGGAAGAGCTCTGACTTTGCGACCTCTGGCAAGTGGGATGTTGTGGTGGAAACCGATCAGGAGTTGAAAACCTACGTCTTTGATGGTATCATGGTCTGCAGTGGCTATTACACTGATCAAATTTTGCCCTTACATGATTTTCCAGGTATTTAACTGATGAGTATGTCAAAAAACTATTTGCATCCTTCTAAATCGGTATGCAGTTTGCACTGCACTGTCATAGTCATGCATGGCAATACAAAAAAAAAAAAAAAAAAAAGCCGGGGGTGGGCGGTGTGTGGTAACTTTCTGGAAGAGACAGGAAAGATTTGACACTAGGAGTTGCACTTGAGCTAAACCCTAACAGTTTCCCTAGAAAACTAAGTTCTGGAGCAAGGCATTCTAGACAGAGGAAGCAATGCTTAAGCATGGAAAGCAGTTGAGCATAAAGTAGTTGGCAAGCTCATAGATCAGCACACCCTGGATGTGGCTGGGACAGGTGAGTGTACAGGGAGAGCTACGTTCAAATCAATGAAAGAACCCCATGTGCTCACTTCAGCAGCACATATACTAAAATACAGAGAAGATTAGCAGGGCCCCTGCACAAGGATGACACGCAAATCAATGAAAGAACCCCAAAGCGTTTCTGCAAATTATGTCAGTAGTGGGTATGTAGGCAGGCACATAATCTTCTTACTTTATAAACATCAATTTTGTAGTAGTGTTGAAGATTAATTGAAAAGAGAAGGGAAAGCTATTAGATTGACAGGAGGGGGTGTTACAATCCATGAAAGGGATGATGATGAGGCTTTATAAAAAGCAATGGAATCAGTACTCAATAGAGAACTCAATATTCGGGAGATATTTTAGAGATCATGAAAAGATTCAGTGAATACCAAGACATGTCAAAAATAATTTTAGACTGCGTGACAACATCCCATGTTTTTAAATTAAATTTCTCTTCAAGACACTTTGAAATTTAGAATACTTGTACTTACTTTATTCTAGAGAATAGCCACTAGCTAGCTGCCATGATTTAACCCTTGCCATGTAGCTAACAGGAGTTGACATGCACTTTCATTGTGAAATACAAACCAGATTTTGAAAATAGTGTTAAAATGTGTTAGATATTTAATCAGTTTCTTGGTATACTGCCCATATATGTTAAAAACAGCAAAGATTATGTTGAGTCAAATATGACACATAATTGAAATTAATATATTGTCAAATGTTTTCATATGGCTACTATGAAGTTCAAGATCACACATGTGGTCCCCATGATATTTCTTTTGGACAGCATTGTTCTGCTTTTACGTGTACCTTCACAACTTTGAAACCCATTTATAGAGTCATAAAAATAGCAGAACTGGTCCTCATACAAGAGCAGAGAATTAAAAAGGGACAGCAATCTCTTAAAAATAACAAGAGTCATCATACTGAACATATTTATAACTGGCTTTCAAAAGAGAAATAGCAATATGTTTTTAATTTGCCCTCAATCCTGTCATCCCTGCCACTGAACACTTTGTTCCTTGGATAAATGAAGTCTATATTATTAATAGCAACTGACAAACCACAAGAAAGGTGGCTTAAGTGATATACATTTCAAGTTCAGGAATAAATTTTTGCATAGCAGTCTATTCCATTTCTACGAATTCAGGGATACTATTCTGTTCTCCTAGGGATTAAGAAATTTAAAGGCGACTATCTCCACACTTGGGCATACAGGAATCCAGACAATTTTTCAGGGAAGAGAGTTGTCGTGGTTGGCATTGGGAATTCCGGAGCAGACGTGGCTGGCGAGATCTGCACTGTTGCTGAACAGGTGACTAGGGTGGGGGATGGGAAGTCACTGCACTGCCTTAGCAACGCTTCTCTCTCAGTCAGCCTTAACCGCCGCCTTCCCAGCATGGTGATGGCAAGCTTTTCCTCAGACTTTATGTGAGTTTAAGAATAAGAATGCAAACAAACAAACAAACGAAAGAAAAGTAGCCTTCCATATCAGAATGCATTGATAAAAACAAACAAACAAACACTTGAGTCAGATAGCCTGGGAACCAAAATGAGCTGCCATAGTAAGATGGGACTTCTCTAACTGAAATAATTTTACAGAAAACATGAAATTTTCATCTCAGTAATAAAGGCTGAATAGAGAAAAATATGCCCACACACGAGCAGAGAGACAATACCAACATATGAATAAGTTGTTATCAATTGAGCAGAAATGTTACGGGTTCCAACTGAATGTGGGAAAAATGAAGAGTAGGAAAAAAAGCAATTTTCGCTCTGCAGGAAAAGTCACTGGCCTCGAAAGATTGCAGAGGGATGGCTTTCCAGTATTCAAAATACAATTTTAGTTTTGATTGCAAGTTTCCAAGAAGAAGATGCAAGGTCCCCAATAATTAACTTCTCCTATGTAGGACTCAATGTCTAGCCTACAGGCCAAAATGATTTATTACGTCCCTGCCAAGGCAACTGCAGGCAAGACCCAAAATTCAAGAAATCTACAGAAGACTAATTTTTAAATTAATAGTTTTGTATGGCTCAGGAATGATGTTAAAATACCAAAATGGCCCTTGTAGAAAAAAAACAAAGTCTCCTCTTCTGCAGTCAACCACTCAGAATGTTGTTTTGCCCAAGTCTGGCATGGCGTACTAGACACTGGTGCGTGTGTCAGACTCTGTATGATGAAGAAACTTACAAGCTGGTGACTTTAGCCTCCGCTAAAACACTTGAAATGACACACTTCCTCAAAATGCAACCTCCGTTTGTCACACTTCTCATGTTCAATCTTCCACTTGTAAATGTAAAAGAAAATCCCAAAGTGAAACTTGGGTGTTATCCCAGATTTCATATCCAGATATTTCCCCACCGGACTAAATTATAGAATGGTACAGTTTAGAGAAAACATGGATATAACCAGTAACTCATTCACTTCAGCTTTTCTTCTCTCACATTCTGAGTCCAGATACCTAAGCCAGCTATAATGAACATTCAAATGCAAAGAACAAATGAATTGAAAGAACTTTCAGTAGCTGTGATTGAGGAATGTATCCCTGGTGAGAGGACACAGATAAGGAGCCCATGCGATGTGAGAACTTGATACAATCCCCTTGATTTCAAACAAACACACTTGAAGCTCTGAGATCAGAGTGATAGAGAATGAAGTTGTTTTGGGCCCGGTGCGATAGTTTAGCAGCTAAAGTCCTTGTCTTGAATGAGCTGGGATCCCATATGCGTGCCCCGCCTCCCATCCAGCTCCCTGCTTGTGGCCTGGAAAAGCGGTCGGTTGAGGACAGCCCAAAGCCTTGGGACCCTGCACCCACGTGAGAGACCTGGAAGAAGCTCCTGGCTCCTGGCTTCAGATCGGCTCAGCTCTGGCCATTGCAGCCACTTAGAAAGTGAATCATCAAATGGAAAATCTTCCTCTCTGTCTCTCCTCTTCTCTGTGTATCTGACTTTCCAATAAAAATGAAATAAATATTAAAAAGAAAAAAAGAATGAGGTTGTTACTGGGCAACAATTTCTGTCTTACAGGTCTTCATCAGCACAAGGCGAGGGGCCTGGATATGGAACCGGGTTTGGGACGATGGAAAGCCCCTTGACAGCGCACTGTTCACGCGTTATAACGAACTAATGCATAAAATACTGCCCACATTCATGGTCAACAGGTGGCATGAGAAGAAATTGAACACAAGATTTAACCATGCCAATTACGGACTCCAGCCTAAACATAGGTAAGGTCTAGAATTTTTTTAAAGGTGTTTTTAAAATATATACATATACATATTTATGTAGCTATTTATATGAATAACAGAGAAAGAAGTTCTCCGTCCATTGAATCATTCCCTGATGGCCACAAAATCAAAGGCTAGGCCAGGCCCAAGGGAGGTCTCCTAGGTGAAACACTTGAGGCAGCTTTAACCGCTTCCCAGGTGCAGTGCCAGGGAGCTGGGTGGAACCAGAGTGGCCAGGGCTCAGATCAGTCCTCATGTACCCTAGAGTGTTGCAATCAGCAAGTCATCCTGACTGCACCACAACTTCTGCCCTCTCTCTCCTTTCAAAAAAATGTATTGATTAATCTGGATGGCAGAATGATAGAAATGAAGCAAATATTTTTAAATGACTAGGCTAGTTGACATAACCTCTAATCTTCGTATAATTCTAATTCTTGATAGGATTTAATTTGGTTGGTAATATTCAATGTCTCTCCTTATTAGTAGTCACTTGACAAGCTGTGAAAATTATTTTTCAGATGTGATGGACAGAGTGTGAGTTACTAGAGAATTACATCCTTGTTTAATTGGTGATTCTTGTCGTGTAACTGTTCCAATCTATTGCCTTTTTCATTACCTTCTGTCAACTACTTCCAGTTCACTCCCTAAGTATAAAATTGATTTTGTTGTTACCCTGAAACCTCCGTCAACCAAGGCACTTCCTGTAGGTGTGACTTCCTACCGCTTATGCCAGGCCACGCCCCGACTCCCCTGCTTCATTTAATTCTTATCCTACTATAGTTGAGCCATCCACATCATCCTAGAACCACAGTGCATCTGGATGTCACGTCGGAGCACACTGTGTAATAGCAACCTCTTTTTTTTTTTTAAGGATTTATTTATTTCTATTGCAAAGTCAGACATACAGACAGGAGGAGAGACAGAGAGGAAAATCTTGCATCCATTGGTTCACTCTCCAAATGGCCCCAACGGCCGGAGTTGAGCCCATCTGAAGCCAGGGCCCAAAGCCTCGTCAGGGTCTCCTACGTGGCTGCAGGGTCCCAAGGCTTTGGGCTGACCTCGACTGCTTTTCCCAGGGAGCTGGATGGGAAGCGGGACGGTCGACATTAGAACCGGTGCGCATGTGGGATCCCAGCACATGCAAAGTGAGGACTTTAGCCACTAGGGTGTCGTGCCGGGCCCAATAGCAATCTCTTAACTTTACCACCTTAACTTTGCCCCCACAACCTAGCTAGTTCTCAGACCTTCCTCTGTCCAGTTCATCCCTCGTTTCCTTTTGCTTGCTCTTCCACCTTCTTTTCCAGTCCTCCCTCCTTAGAAGTTGATGTCCGCATGTATCCATTCGTGATCCTCACCTTCTCTTATTCAGCGCAGCTTCCCACACTAGGAAATCTATGCTAAAGATATTAAATGCGTGAACTCAAGGAGGGCTACTGAAAATCCATTTCAGAAAGTATCTAGAATATCTGCAGTTTCATGATATATAGTCTATAACTCCAGGGACTTTGCTAGGAACAAAATCATTCAAAACATGAAAAATAAGTGCTCACAGTAAAGTTTATCTGAGATTAGAACATCCTCCTGCTAATTGGCACAAATCTCAAATTATGGTTACCAAAGTCTGTATGAAACTGAGCACAAATTTTTCTAATGAAGATTTTCTCTCAAAATCATACATCCTCTTTGCATTGCTACCTCACTATTTTTGCTCTGCAAATTTAAGGCTATTCTGAAATAAGACTTTAAAATGAAAAGTTGTACAGCTATATGGTGTCCTTGGGGACATCCGGATTCCATATCAGAGTCAGCTGCAGTCCCAGCCACTCTCCTTACAATCCAGCTCCCTGCTAATGTGCCTGGAGAGCGTCAACCTGTGACTCAAGTCCATGAGTCCATGCTACGCACATGGGAGACCGGGGTGGAGTTTCTGGATCCCAGCTTTGGCCTCATCCCAGTCCTAGCTATTGTGGTTTTTGGGAAGTCAACCAGCAAATGAAAGGCATGCCTCTCCCTGTTCTCTCTCTCTCTCTCTGTTCTCTCTCTTTCATTCATGTAAATACATAAATCTCTGTAAAATCATGCAGTAACAGCTGGTAGTCCCATGAAAAATATTAATGACTGAATAATATCAATACTTACATGCTATTAGGCACAAAAGACAGATTAAAAATCAAAATACTTTATCGTTTGTAAAAACACAATTTTGTAAAAACATGCATTTAGTCATTAGCACCATCTGGCCTTGTTATTTTGTCTTTATTATACTTTCACAAGTCAGGCAAAAGACCCTGAAATATTTCATGACTAATCTGAAGTCTCACAGCAGGGCCAATGTTAAAATCCTGTTTAACTGAAAATCAGTCTCTTAAGCAATAAAAAGCAAGAAATTGATTCAAACAGAATGATTGCTCCCAGAGGACTTATCTACCACATCTTCATAAAAAAATAGTAATACTCACTTGTTGATAGTGCCTTCCTTATGTCGCAGGTTTCTTAATTACCAGTCTACTTTCGCTGATAATTTGCCCAATCACATCATATCTGGAAGAGTGATGATCAAACCCAACGTGACGGAGTTCACTGAGACAACTGCCATCTTTGAAGATGGCACTGAAGAGAAAATTGATGCTGTGATCTTTGCCACAGGATCCACATTTTCTTTCCCTTTCTTGGAGAATGAATTCAAGCATAATCCCAGATTTAAATTTGTCTTCCCTCCTCAGTTAGAAAAGCCAACATTAGCTTTCATTGGCATCTTCCAGCCTATAGGAGCCACCATTCCCACCTCAGAGCTCCAGAGCCGATGGGTTGCACGTGTGTTCAAGGGTAAGTTGCTGTCTTCTTTCTACAGGAACATCACAGGCTCCTGGTTTATAAGTGAAGATTCTAAGTGCACTCAAAGATTTTCTCTTCAATGTGTCATCTCCATTTGTCCAAGCAAGAGACCTTAGGCTTCATTGCCAATCTATTCTCTAGAATTTAAAATGTCTAAAACAAACAAACAAACAAAAACTTATTTAAGTAAAAGCTTAAAAGGAATAAGGAAAAACATGCAAAATTATAATCAGATTAAATCTGGATGTTCAACACACGTTCATCTTTTTTTCCAAAAGAAAGCAAATTTCTGTTCAGGATTTATACAAACAAGGCCTGCGAGGTAGGAAACCCAGCAAAGGAGTACGTGCCACTAAGCATATTTGAAAAGGGTGGTGAAATGATATGATGTATATCACCCATTCCTGATGCATTTCCCAAGGCCTTACCCCAGTTGATGCTGTAGAGCAAAGCAAAATAAGTATGAAAAAGCCAAAATCAGGGTTTTTTTTTAAAGAGACAGAGTATATTGACTAAATGGTATCAATCCCCTTCCCTCACTGTCCTAAATCACCTCAGATTCTCTCTGCTCAGATTTTCAAGAATTAAAATTCTATCTTTTTTTTTAATTATTTCATGGTACAATTCCATAGGGTCTTGGATTTCCCAATTCCTCTCCCCAAATTTCTACTTCCTGAATGATGTTCCCCATATTATTACAATAGTATAGTCCTTTATAAGCAGTCTTAAGTCTATCAGTCTGGTATTTAAGTGTGTCCTGACATTGCTGGTACAGACAATGGCAGACAGTCCAGCATCCTATTGTCAAGATATAGCCAACAGTCTCATTGGGAGTCCATCTTTGAATTGGAAGTAGAGTTGCATACTGCATTGTATCTTCACATCTGGATATGATAACCTCTATCACATTGTCACTACACATTCCCTTAAATGAGAAGCAATGAAACAAAGTCAACAACAGGAATGAAGTTAAAGCAAAAAATTTACAGCACCGTGGAATTAAGCAACATACTACTGAAGAACTAATGTATCAATGAAGAAATGAAAAAGAGACATAAAAGCTTCTTGGGTAAAATGATGCTATTGTGTGGTCTACCAGCCTTATATCAAAGAGAACATATAGTATTTGTCCTTTTGGGTTTTATTTCACCTTTATTTCACTGAGCATAATGGTGGTATAATTTCATTATTTTTAATAGCTGAGTAGTATTCCATGGGATAGATGTACCACATTTCTTTAGCCACTCTCGTTTTGATGACCATCTGGGTTGTTCTCATGTCTTTGCTATTGTAGATTGTGTTGCTGCAAATATAGGATTACAGATCCCCTTCTCATATGCAGTTTTCATTTCCTTTGGATATATTCCTAGGAGCGGTTTAGTTGGGTCATATGGCAGGTTTATTTGGAGTTCTCTATGCACTCTCCATATTGCTTTCAATAGTGGTTGTATTAACCTACATCAGGAAATTCCACAGTTCTTTCCTGAAGGTCAGAATGGGATACAAATTAGTGCCCTTCTAACAAATCTGTTCTGAGATGTAAATTCTCAATTAGGCAAGTCAGAAATTTATAAGAAGCATGGTCATTCACTGAATTCTGAATATTTATTCAGGTGGCTTGCATTGTATCTATATCTTGTGTTATTCATACTTTGAAGCTGTGAAATAACTTCTCCAGTGGAATCATTTCTAATAACTCTTGCTGTAATTCAAAAAGTCTCTAGTGTAGCTCTAATTCAGACATCTTGATTTCCTTGTACATGCTTTGCCTCTCTTTGTTCTGGCAAGTATACATTTTCTTTATTGACATCAACAATAAATCCAGGTCTAGAAATATGGGCACCAGTAAATGACACCCATGGACCATTAAAAGATAACAAGTGGATGATATAATGGTGGTTATATCTGACAGCAGTTATACAATCATTTATCACTGTTGTTATATTTAAGGTTTTCAACTTGTACCTTACTGCCTCTTGGCAATGTGATATTTTTAAAGGCTTAATTTTAGTATAACATACGCACAGAAAAGTGCATTTGTTGAATTATTTTCACAAGTCAAAGACACATATGTGCACTTAACCGTAATTTATTTCCTTGTCTCCCTTAGGCTTGCTAACAGCCCTCCAATTTCTCTTTCTCAGGACTGAAAACATTACCTTCCGTGAATGAGATGATGGCTGACATCACTAAGAGGAAACAGAAAATTAAAAAAAGGTAAGAAAATTACTGTTAAAGTAAATGAAATCTGCTTTAGATACAGCTCTCTCATTTTCTAGTTGTATGATTCGCATTCACCTAAAAAAAAAAAAACACCTTCCAGTTTAATTTAATGGTAGAACAATGAAAACACCTGCATGGGGTTCGTGCCTGGAAAGTGTCTGGCTGTGGCCCATAAATCCCATCACCTGTTGAATGCCAAGTCAGTGCACAAGTTGTCTGCAAAGTGAGAACCAATAAGAAACATGGAAAGAGTTCTTTGACTCATTGCAAAAACTGAAATCACAAAAGCAACACGAAACTTTAGTTAAATTCAGAATCTGAGGAAAGGAAAGTAACTTTTCAAATATATACCCAAGTATATATATCCAAATATATACCCAAGCTTAAAGCACACTTTTATTTTATCTTATTAAACACATATCCCATACACTTTATATAATAAACTTACATGTGAGGAACACTTTTGGGAAATGTTGGAAGAAATGGGATAGAGTAACCCTATAACAATTCCACAATTAAATGGACAATTATAGACAAATAACTAAATATGACATGTAAATATCACATTTTCCATCACCTTATGTCTCTACTTTAAGCTTATGCCTTACTAGTTAGTACTTGTGTCTAAAATAAAAGGATTTTCCCTTTGTAATTTCTGATTAAATCCTAAATTTTATGAAAGTCATTAACATGTGCATTTATTTTATGATCAAACTTTATTCTTTTTGTTAGTTATAATAATGTTCATCTGATTTCTTAGGTTTGCTAAGCAGACAATAGAAACTGTGATATTAGCTATTCCATTCACAGGCATATGAGGTTGCGTGTGTGTGTGTTGGTTGTAACTTACAGGATGAGTTCAGATAGTGAAAACACAGGCATCTTGCTTCATTTGTTCAGACTCTCTCTCTAGGGCTTCGCCATTAAAGATGATTGTAGAAGGACATTGTGAATTTTTGCTAGTGCAGAGCCAGAGCTATTTCCAATGCTGCCCGGAGGACCCGGAGAGCAATTCATATGGAAGTGAATAGACAGGGAATTCTCTAGTCCACAGGTTTAGACACCAGATCAAAGAGAGCTGCTTCCTCCCCCAGGTAGAGGAACAGGAATTCACAGACCGAGGAAAGGAGCCTGCTAGATGAACAAATAGTGTTTGAAGGGACTCTGTCTCTTGCTGTAGAAATGTAAATGCCTCAAACTCCCCTCCCTGATGCATAGATGACAACCTCTCTTTAAAATCTGATGCTGATAATAAAATTCAGCTATTGACCATCAGTCAGTAGCCCAGGCGTATTCTTTGTCAGGCTCCATGTACCAAGTCCATCGCTGCAGGACAGCAAACAGATGATATTGTCTACAGGAGATTGAGACAATATCCCTCTATTCCTACCTTTTGAAAATAAATGGATGCTGGTTTTCATCAAATGCTTTCTGATCAAATTCTAAAATGACATGAATTTACATTTATATATTAATGCTGTTAGCTATTTCCTTAATTTTCAGGAATAAAGACTACGTGATCCTTGTGTTTTACTCTTTTTTTTTAATTCATTTGAGAGCTCCCATGTACTAGTTCAGTCACCAATGCCCAGCATGGCTGGAGGTGAGCTGGGGCCAGAGTCAGCAGTTTAGGAGTGCAGTTTCCCATGTGGGTAGCTTGAATCCACACACCTCCTCGGGCCTGCCCTGGGGAGAAGCAGAAGTCAGAATGTGGATCTGAGAATTCCACTCAGGCAATCCAGTGTGGGAGGCAAGCATTTTAACCACTTGCCTAAATGCCTGTCCTGGATTATGATTAAATATTCCTAAATTGGATTTTGTAGGACTTCATTTATAACTTTTGCAACTATATCCATACAAAGATTTGATTTGTGATTCTCCTTTTCCTTTTCTATGTTGCTGTATTAAGTTATCGGCTTTGTATTCACTTTATATTCACTTTACAAGACAAATGAGTGCTTTTGTATAAACAAAAACAAATAAGATGAGATTTCATGTTACCTGAAAATATGAAATAAATCATTCATATAAATATTAGATGCAGCAACTATTTAGGAAATAATGCTTAGATCAGCTTTTCCATTACTTATAGAATTATTGGTCCACTTGCATTGTATTATGTCAAATCTAAAAATGTATTTTATTAGAAAATCATCATTGTCTTTGAATTTTGCAAATTTTAAGCTTAACTATGCATAATATTTTACTATTGTTTTAAGCTTTCCTGTATTTTTACATAAAATCCCTTTTTACATTTTTTTGTGTTTAGTAATTTTTTTTGCTTCATTTTCAAATGATTTGTGTATTCTATTGTTAATTTTTATTTTTAAAGAAACTTCCTTTAATATTTATCAAATTCTGGTGAATTCTTTCTTTAATCTTAATTAATGACATTAAAGCTTTCCTACTCCATTCTGTATTCCTTTGCAAATTCTTTATTTAGCTACTTGATTCATCTGTCATTTATTATGCTTTTCTTGAATAGCCTACTCTGTTTCTACCCAGAGTTTTGATCATGTTTAAATTGTAATTCTAACTTTGTTTCCTTCTTCCCTCAAATGATTTAGCAATGGTTTTTTACTGTCAAGTAAATGGGACAAGTCATATAAAAGCAAGCCCAACCAGTCTGTGGCTGTCTAGGCATATGCAAGTATATAATTTGTGTCCAGATTCAAGATATAGAACCGGTATTTTATGTAACATGGAACATGAAGTGAACAAAGGAGTCAACTCTCTCTTGTGCTTAACTTGCACATTCTTCATTCACCAAGGTTTGCATAACAGGATGAGATTCAGTATCTGGCAGGTGACTGATAACTAAGACTGCCTCTGTACTCATCCAACACGTCCTTTATGTGTGTCACACTACTGAATGCTTTAGCAATTCTCGAGACATCAGGGATTCATAGTTTGTGCTTAGGGATTTTTCTAAATAGATTAAGACATATGTATTTCATGAAGGTGGTTTGATAAGTACAAGATAACGGAGTCATTAAACAGCAGAAATAAAATTCACTAAGAAATCAGAGGAAGATATCAGCTAAGATCTAGTACATTGTGTCTAATAGTTTCCTTCCTATTCCAGATATTTTGACACCCCAAGAAATCAACATCGCATTGAGTATATCACCTACATGGATGAAATTGCCACCGAATTAGGGGTCAAACCCAACCTACTGTCTCTTCTCTTCTGGGATATAAAGCTGGCTAAGGAAATTTTCTATGGGCCTTGCACCCCATATCAGTACCGTCTACAGGGGCCAGGGAAATGGAGTGGGGCCCGAGAAGCCATTCTCACACAAAGAGAACGGATTCTCAAACCCCTGAAAACACGTGCAGTTGAACAGCCCGAGTCCTTCTGGTCAAATCTGTTCCATCTGTTTGGTGTCAAAGGTGTCTGTATTGCCTTTTTTCTCTTCATTTTCACTGTAGTGCTCATACAACTGATTTACTCTTAAGTCACGGTGACATAGGTGTTTAGGCAATTAGAGAAGCACAGCTTATTTTTGTTTAAGTTGTATCAAAATGGAGACACAATGAATTATATGGTTATAATTATATAGTTATTTCACTAACTAGCACACTGATACTTAAATGAAGCAAAACTATTCCAGTAAAGATTTTACCTAGTACTTTATATGGAGAGTTATGAAATATATATATTTTGTTTCCACTTAATTCCAGATATAATTTGAAGTAGCTTACAAGTTTATATCAAATATGACAGTGGAAAATAATTAAAAATGGAACTCAGTTACAAAACAAGAATAGGAGCAAAATTCAACTAGTAAAAAAGCTCAAAGTGTCTCAAAGTATTGCCCTACAATGAAGTATTTATTGCAAAGAGAAAATTTTATCTTTTCATTGGAAAAATCTGACAGTCACTACCTTGACTAAATGATCAAATAGCACTATTGACAGAAAGGCAATCTGAAATTTTGCAATTCCCAGTAGCACACAAATAGAATCCCAACATCAGCTACTATTATTGTGATGAAAGTACTTACACTGAATATGATTATAAAGAACAATAAGGAAAATGAATACAATGAAATGTTCTGAACACTTCTTGCACTCTAAAGAAAAAGCAATGTCATAAAAATTAAATTTATAAAGGAAAAAAAAATGCTTTCTGTACTCATAGAGACCAAAAAATGCGCAAAGAGCATATGTGACATTTGAACACTGATTGAAAACTTTAAGTGGGTACATTTTTATGTTTATTCTATGTTTTAATTGAAATAATGGTAGTATTATCTAGTATAATAAAGTATCATGATTACATAGCAAAATACTATTATCTTTAGAAAACATACACAAAAGTATAGAGTATTATCTTCAATTTATTTGCAAAAACTATAGAAAAGAGGGTTTAGCTATGTGGGTATGTGAAGCAGATAAAAAATGAAGGGACAAAATATTAACAACTTGTGATTTTTGATGAAAGGTATAAGAATCTACATATGTATGTTCATTGTACTAATCCTTCTGTTCTTTAATAATTTGGGAAATTGCAAAATAAAAATTTGAGGAAAAAACAAATCTATACGATTTCTGTCTCCAATGATTTAAGCAGAAGTTGAATTCAACTTTAAAACAAATATTATTTTTTTAAGAGACGAAGAGAAAAACAGAGATAGACTGATAGAAAGAGACCATTCTTTTCCATCCCACTCCACCACCCGCCCCCCAGTTGCCATAGTCTGGTCCACTCCCCAGATGCCTGGGGCCCAAAACTGAAAGCCAAGAAATCGACCCAGGTCTCCTTGGTGGTGGTGCAGGGACTCGTTCCTGGGGCTGGCACCACTGTTCCCCAGGGTCCGCATTAACACAAGGACGAAATCAGGAGCTGGAGCCTTGGCTAGAAGCAGGCACTCATCTATGGGATATGGTCATCTTACCCAGTGTCTCAACCACTAGGCCAGACACCCCCGCCCCCCCGAGTATCTTCTTGTTGTTGTTGTTGTTGTTAACCAAACCAAAAAGGAAAAACTTACAAAACAAATGATGAGCCCTATGAGGTAAATGAAAACAGATCAGTTGGGGTGGGCATGTAACCTACTGATTCAGACAGTTGCATTGCATATCAGAATGCCTGAAGAGACTTAAAACAGTGTCTCCTACCCAATAGTCAAAAACCATGCTTTTGTACATACAGCCTATTTTCAACCTTGTAAAGCATAGTCGATATGAAATGACAATGGATAACCCAGAGTAGCAGCAAGCTCACTTCTGTGTAGTGAATACAGCATCAGTGCTCATTGACAACGTACACAGTATTTTTCCTTCAAACAAGGTATTATGCTGTCATAGGTACTCATCTGATTTCTTTGCAAACTATTTAAGCAAGCCACCACTATTGAACATTCAATTTCCTATTATTGTCTTGAAAAGGACCCATGTCATTCATCATTTTGGGGTGTCAGACCCACAAATCAAGCGCAATTCTCATCAGTACACAAATGACATTTTTCACATAGTTAGACATAACAATCCTACAATTTACATGGACCCACACAATATCCAGACTAGTCAAAGAAACCCTAAGCAAAATAGGAAAAAATACGAAGATCATAATATCTAACTTCAAAATCATACTGTAGGAGTAGCTGTTGTAGCACAGTGGGTTATAACACTGCTGAAATATCATATCATATCAGAGGGTCTGGAATCAAGTGTTGCATCTGCTTTTGATCCAGCTTCCTGCTAATGTACCTGAGAGACAGAAGATGATCATACCAATAGAACCCAGCTTGGGCTGGGTTCCCACCATTTACAAAGGAGCTCCAGATGGCACCATTTCCCACCTTTTATGCTCAAAAACTGTCTCTTCTCTGAGCTCTTCCAGCCACCTCTGCTTTCTGGAGATGCTGTTTATGTCCCCTGTAGCCTACTCATCAGACTTTGACTGAAAGTAATGCCTTTACACACCCTCTGTAACATTCACACATGACACAGCCAATCCACCTCTCCGTGTGAACTGCAGGTGCTTCAACTGTATCAAGTAATAATCTCACCTTGAAATCTTCTAGTCACCGTTATTCTAGCTTGCGAACAAAAAGAACAGAGTATATGGTGTTGGAGTCATGCTCTTTAAGCTTGTGACTTTTTAAGTATTAATTTATTCATTTGTATGAGGGGCAAACAAGCAGAGCAAGTTAGCTCACATCCATGGACTCACTCTCCCTGAATGTACATAAAAGCCAGAACTGGGACGAGCCTGGGCCAGGGGCTGGGAATATAATCCATGTCTCCCATGTGGATGGCAGGTATAGACTTACTTGAGCCGTCATCACTGTCTCCCTGCATGGGCAGGAAGCTGGAGTCGGGGAACTGGAACCAACAAGGGAACTCATATATTCTGATGTGTGAGCACCCTGATCACCAGGCTATCCTCTTGCTTCCCTACTGATTTTCTGAACATTGCAATGTTTTTATGCCACAGTCCAGAAAGCTTAAGAAGTGAGTAAAGACACTATGTAGTGTTTTGTACATACGGCAGTTTTGCAGTTTGAGTTGCTATGAGTGATTGGTTCTGCCCAAATAGCAGTGCTTGCTGAAATGGCATAGCAGTGAGTAATCTCTCCCACCTCTTCGAACTCCAGGACAGCAACTCAGTGTCTTCTCATTGTCTGTTTTCTGCCATCCACTAGCAGGCAGAAATGACGCCTTGTCCTTTTCCATCCTGTGACCTACAAAGCTAAGTGTTCCACAATAGGAGCTTTAGAAACAGTTATTTAATGGAAGGGGGAGAAGCCATAAGAATTTCAACCACAAAAGGATTTTGTAAGAATAGCTTTTGTAATCTCTAAGAAAATGCAAGTGAGTTAAATCCTAGTGAGCGAAGTCACCTTGGGAACCCATTTTCTGAAGTGCTGTCACAGCCATGTATAATTTGTGACAAGGGAACACTCTTTGACAGGTAGTGTTGGCTGCTCAACTGCTTCAAAACAATGGAGTGACCGAGGTGCATTCATAATGCCACAAGCCTAATTGTTTTCACTGCTGACAACTGTTTACATTTTTTTCACTGTGAGGTTAACCTAATCTTTTACTTGTCATTTTCTCTCTGCTGCACAAGTAATCCTACATATGCAAACGTATACAACTCTAATCCCATGAGCTGTATAAAGACAACTTGACACTTTCGACTGAGTAATACGCCATTTCACAACTCAAACCGTAGCTGACAAAGAGAAAACAGATTTCACAAGAAAGCAGAAAATCCTCTCAATGCACACTTTGCTAACTACAATGGCTGAGACTTAAATCTGGAGATAAGTAGTGGAAATAAATTTCCTGTAAATCTTTTCAAAAAAGAAGCTTTCAAAATGAGTTACATCCCACTGGATGTCATAAGTGGCGACTTAACCTCAAAGTCTTCATTTCTAGGCTTTTGTAATTCTAGAAACTTTGATGTTAAGAGGAGACCAGACAATGCCAGAGTGTGTTTACCTTTAAAGTATTGTATTCCTTGAATGTATGTGATTTTGAGTCTACAATATTCTAGATACCATGATTGATCCTGAGGTCACAGCCTCTGCTTTCAAGAAGTTTGCAGCATAAGAAAAATGATCTTTTGGTTTTCTTTTTGTAATAATTATTCAAAATTGAGAAACACTTTGTAGTCACAGACTCCTGGAATTTTATCCCCTCTGCCCTACCAGGTCCCATCTAAACCAGTCCAAATATGCACAAATGTTCATTTCTCCTTACAAAAACTTTAGGAAACGTAGTACTCTTTACTTCCTTACTATCAATATTATGCTAAAATTCAAGAAAAATCATCCAAAGCAAGGCAATAGCTAATTGATAACCAGTATAAATATTATTTAAAAATTGTTAGTCTGGCATCAAATCATTAAAATTTCACGTCCTAGGGTCTGGCACAATAGCCTATTGGCTACAGTCCTCATCTTGCATGTGCCAAGATTCTCTATGAGCACCAGTTCATGTCTCGGATGCTCCACTTCCCATCCAGAACCTACTGGTGGCCTGGGAAAGCAGTGGATGATGGCCCAAAGTCTTGGGATCCTACACCTGTGCGGGAGACCTGGAAAAAGTTCCTGGCTCCTGGCTTTCAGATCAGCTTAGGTCTGGCCACTGCAGCTTCTTGGGAAGTCAGTAAATGGAAGATCTCTCTCTGTGTCTCTCCTTCTCTCTGTAAATCTGCCTTTCCAATATCAACAAAATAAATTCTAGAAAAAAATGATAATAAAGTCCACCAGCATGGGTACCTGGCTTCATGGAGACCTGTAGGGTGCAGGCTTGTAAGGATGCTGCTAGCAAGCATGTGAAGAGACCTAGGGGCTCACACCCAGGGTGAGCCTGGAGATTTCCATACATGCTCGATCCAGGGTGAGGTTATGCGGAAGGGCAAACCCTAGGCAGCA